CTGTTGTCTTATTAATACTCACAGTACTGCTTTATATATGTTTATATGCTTTGATCACCACAGGTAGAAGATTCTTCACCTGCGCGAATGTAGATGATGGTGAATGCCATGTTTGGAAGTGGTGGGATGTGGCGGTGATGGAGGAGATGAGAGCTAGAGACAGACACGTCCTTCTGCTGGATGAGAAGGTCGAAAATCTCGGACTTTTGGGTGACTATGAGTCTGAGCAGAGACTCCTTAGGCTAGAGAAGATTGTCTGTGATATAGGTAAGGAGAAAACAAACTCCACCGATAAGTATTTCGTAGGTTTAATGGTTCTCGTTTTAGTTTTTGTTGGAGTGTTGGTAATCTTAATGTAATCGTAAAATGCCTCAGACTTGTTGTTGTTGGTCACAGTTTGTTACGTTTGTTGTTGGTAATGTTTATGTAAAACAAAAATGTGTCAGACTTGTATGTTTGTTTCATGCAACAAACTTGTTCACGTTCTCTGTTATTTGATTGATTCACAAAGCTACTGTCTCTGTTATTTGCCCGTGAACAAAGTCACAAGCTGTACTAACAAAGACAAAAAATCTACTATTGTTCACGTTCCCTGTTATTTGATTGATTCACAAAGTAACTGTCTCTGTTATTTGCCCGTGAACAAAGTCACAAGCTGTACTAACATAGTCACAAGATCTACTATTGTTCACATTATTTGATTGACTAACGAGAGGGGTTGGAGATCACGGGATCACAAGAACAACAAGATGCATTTGTCTTATAAATAAGACATAGTCTACCTTTAAAAATATGCATACCATCCCTCTTCTCTTCTCTTTCAAAGTTTTTTTTCTCATTTTAATGGCATCATCATCCCATTATCACTATCATAAAGATGATGATGATGATGACATATTTGACGATATTTTTGAAAATTTCATTCCAGAACCAAAAGAGCGGAGACCACGTATTTTTATCGAGCGAAACCGGGAAGAAGGTGACGATCAACTCTGGAATGATTATTTTAGTGATAATCCAACATATCCGCACAATATATTTCGCCGCCGGTTTCGAATGAACAAGCCATTGTTCATGCGTATTGTTCATCGTCTCTCTACGCAAGTTGCATATTTTAAACCAACACACGACGTAACCGGACGGTCCGGTCTTTCACCGCTCCAAAAATGTACTGCAGCAATTCGTCAATTGGCATATGGTGGTGGGGCTGATGCAGTTGACGAATACGTACGCCTTGGTGAAACAACGGCTCGAGACTGTTTGCATAATTTTACCGCTGCAATAATCAACTTGTTTGGCGATGAATACCTTAGGCGTCCCACACCAGCTGATCTTGAAAGACTACTCAATATTGGAGAGCAACGTGGATTCCCCGGAATGGTTGGAAGCATCGATTGCATGCACTGGGAGTGGAAGAATTGTCCTACCTCTTGGAAATGAATGTATTCACGAGGAACCGAGAAACCAACAATTGTCTTGGAGGCGGTAGCTTCATATGACCTTTGGATATGGCACGCGTTTTTTGGAGCTCCAGGTACTATGAATGATATAAATATTCTTGATCGATCACCTGTTTTCGATGATATTATTAACGGTGTTGCCCCGGAAGTAAATTTCTATGTCAACGGAACAGAGTACCATTTGGGTTACTATCTCACAGATGGTATTTATCCAAATTGGGCGACTTTTATTCAATCTATCCGACTACCACAAGGAACAAAAAAATCATTATTTGCTAAAACCCAAGAATCAGTCAGAAAAGATGTCGAGCGTGCCTTTGGCGTCTTGCAAGCTAGATTCGCCGTGGTTAAAAATCCATCTAATTTATGGGATAAAAGCAAAATTGCAAATATTATGCGAGCATGTATCATACTCCATAATATGATTGTCGAAGATGAAAGAGATTCATACACTCAGTATGACTGTTTAGAATTTCAACATGGAGAAGATGAGGACCTTACATATTCCGTCGAAATGCCTACAAATCTCGGCAATGCGCTTCAACGACGAACAAGAGTCCGGGATAGACAAGTCCATCAACAATTAAAAAATGATTTGATTGAAAATATATGGGCTAAATTTGGACATCTTCAAAATAATATGTAATTTTTAAGTTTCTCTTTATTTAATAAAATGTTTATGAAGTTTGTTTTTTTGTAATTTTTTTTTCATCTTTGTAATTTTCTATGTTATATGTTTTTATATAAAAATGATTAAAAATAAATAATTAAAAAATGCTAAGGACTCTAAAAAGTCCTACCAATAATCTTCAAAATTAACAAAGTCCTTAGCTTTGTCCTTAGGCATTAAAGTAACCATTAAATATGTTAAGGACACATTATGGGTCCTTCCTATAATGTTGCTCTTAGACCATGTTTATTGCAGGTCCCTTAAGCTGGGTCCCTTAACGTACGGTCCCTTAGCTTTTAACTGAAAACGCTAAGGGACGTCCCTTAAATCCCTTATATAAGGGACGTCCCTTAGCGTTTTCAGTTAAAAGCTAAGGGACTGTACGCTAAGGGACCCAACTTAAGAGACCTGCAATAAACATGCCCTTAGAGCACCCCTATCAAATATTCAAATGAGATTCACACGTTTTCAAAAAAAAAATTTAAAATAAAGAATAGTGATGAATCTACCACTTGCAAGTTTTCTGCAGTGAACCTAGTTCATCACTGTAGCACGGACACCACGACACGTGGCGACTCGCAATTGATCTGATTTTAAAAAAAAATAAATCAAAAAAAAAAAATTTAATAATAAAAAATTGAAAATATGAACCCCAAGAGGGGGTTCATTGATGTGGATACTCTTATAACTAAAATTTGTTTTCAATAGTTGATCCCTTTGTTTTTTTTATCTTTCAAGTGAATAGTTTGACTTTGGTCAAAATAATTCTTGGATCCGCCATTGAACTGAACTATATGCGAACATAAGCATTCGAATTATTTGGTATTTAAGTTTGGTTCAGTGGTTGTATATAGGCCTGGGCGTTCGGTGGCCCAATAGGTTTCGGTTCGGTTGATTCGGATTTTTGGATTTTCGGTATTGTGCTCATAAGTACTATTCGGTTTTTGCTAATAATCGGATCGGGTTCGATTCGGTTCCTCCCGGGTTCGGTTTGGATCGGATTATAACCAATGTCTGAAATCGTCCAAAAATATTTTTTTTTAAATCTAAAAATTTGACAAAATAGTATTCAAAATATGTAAATTTTTCACAAGTATTATTAAAAATTAGTTAAACTATCTAAATTAGCTAAGATATATTCAAAATAACATATAACATAGACTATGAAAATATTTAGAATATTATAAACTATCTAAATTACCTTAACATATATAAAAATATTAACATATTTAACTAATTTCGGATACCTTCGGATCCTACTTCGGATACCTTCGGATCCTACTTCAGATTTTGGTTCGGTTCGGGTTACATTCAAAGTCTGAAGTCTAGGCTCATAAGTCTTGTTCGGTTAGTTTTGTATAATGGTTTGGATCCGGGTTCGATTTTTTCGGTTCAGGTTTAGATCAGTACTTTGGGTTGGGGTAAAAACGCCCAGACCTAATTGTATATTACGAGATATTTCTGCTCACTTTGCACACAGAAAGTTCTGCCACTTCAAAATGAGTTAGCTACGATTGAGATTAGTTGGGTTATTAGGCGGGTTCATGGGCTTACGCTTAAATATTTATACTGGCTGGCGCTCTGTAAATGGGCAGAACTCAAAATTCAAAATATTAATTCATTATTATTGAGCTATAACATAATTCAACAAGCCCATTTTATACTTTGGTCGTCGATCTGTAGGACAAGAATAAAGATCGTGATAATCGATGACCATGTTTTGGGGGGTCAACGTTGATTAAAGATGGCTATCTGAATAATAAACTCATATATAAAAGTCAAAAGGCTTCATGTATGGACGAATTGGAAGAAACAAAAGTCTATGGTTGAAAAACACAAATATATATAATGGCTAGAAATAATGAGTCCAACAAACAGGTCTTTTTCTTTTTATTCTAGTCCTTTTGTGTTGTCACAACTAGTCAAACTAGAACAATACCGGCTAAAAATGATGACGTAGAGAAAATTTTTTTTTAAAAAAAGAAGAATAACACAGTTATAAGATAGTTTTTTTTTTTGTCAACTTCACAATTATAAGATAGTTTTTTTTGTTGTCAACTTCACAGTTATAAGATAGTAGATATGAAAAAAAATGTGGAAGGGTAGAAGCAAAGGGGACATGATTACTAATGCTCGACTTGATAATCATGCACACTGGTGCTTTAAGTTTAAAGTTGATCCCAATCTTATTCTAAAGGATGCTTATCGTGAACTCCAAGTGTAATAAATGATTCTCATTAAGCTGTCTTAATCTTTGCCTAAAAGTGAAATTTCAATAATGATAATAAACTAGCGCATATCCTATTATGTATATTATCCTTCAGTAAGCTATGTACATTTACTGAAGTATCTATATTATCTCAAAACTTTATTTTAGTGTAATTTTCACACAGTTGTTAAAAAAGAAGGGTGTAATTTTCACACTAAAAACTACATTATTTTAATGTGACATTATAATTTTATACCAAATTTAAGGTGACACTATTCAGTACATTAAATACTACTCAACTATTTTTATTAATAAATAAAAAAAAACAAATAAATACATATAAAATAATAAGTAAAAAGTAATAATAATATGATTTGTTGTAGTAATAATGACAAAATAAGTTAAGAAAAAAGAAAAAAATATATTATATTTTAAATTAAAAGTTTTCTAAATTTTCTTATATACTAAAAACTAAATTAGATAAAAAATACTATTTTTACTAAATTTGTTTGGTAAGTTAAATTTATTAATAATTAAATTAATTGGGTAAAAAAACTTCAAAAAATATTTATTTTTGAAATTAAATACAGATGTAACTTTTAAATATAGGGGGAGAACTAAAAGAAAGAAGGTAGCGAGATCCCAATTACCAAGCTTGGCTTGGCAAAGAAAAGAAAAGAAGAGAAAGGTCGTCAAGGATTGTCCGTTAAAAGGTGCAGCGAATCTCTCTCTTTCTTCCCAACCAAAAAAAAAAGAAGAAGATTCTCTGATCGATTCCGCCATTTCGCAAAAACAATTCCGGCGTAGTCGTCTGTTATTTTGTTCTTAGGGGAAAGATACGAGTTTGATGATTTCTAGGTGAAAGAAAGAAAGAGGTCTCTTCACGGCGGATTCTTTTTATTTTTTTTTCTCTATCGACATGGAATCATCGGCGTATTCTAGCGGCGGCGTAACGAACCTTGAACCGTCGATCGGGGCATGGCATTTCCAAATTGCAGTCTATTTCGCCTTCGGATTCTTCTTTTTGAGGCTCTTCCTCGATAAATTCGTCTTTCAAGTACGTAACAAACAACCTCTCCTTCCTCTTTCCTGGAATTGATTAACGAAGAGATGATGATGATGATGCATGTATGTATGTATGCGTTGAAATTCTTGATTTCTAGAACTATATATATGCAGAGTTTTAAGAAGAAGATTCGTGCATCTTTATATGTGATGATGATGATGACGATGACGATGCATTTATGCCTTGAGAGTTGAGACTCTTGATTTATAGAAATATATATATGCAGAGTTTTAATGGAGAAGATGTCTTTGTGCTATTCTCTGGAGATTGATTAGATAATGAGAAGTATTGTTGTTGGTCAGTTAATTCATGAATGTTGCAAAAGAACTTGGAGAATTGATTCAATCTTTTCAATGTTCTTTTTAACAGAGGATAGCTGTATGGCTTTTGAGTACTGGTTCTAAGCCAATTAAAATGAAGGATGCTGCTACTCGTGCTAAGCTCATCAAATGCAAGGAGTCTCTCTGGAAATTGCTCTACTATGGTGCTTGTGAGTACTTCGTTCTCAGTGCTCTTTATCACGAGCCTTGGGCCGGAGATATTAAACTCTTCTTTCACGGTTGGCCTAATCAAGAGCTCAAGTGAGTAATCATTCATCTCCACATTGAGTTTCATGGCAGATGTCCCTGGAATAACCTTGTTTATTTTTTTTTGCTGTAGGCTTCCAATAAAGCTTTACTATATGTGCCAGTGCGGTTTCTATGTGTATGGTGTTGCTGCCTTGCTTGCATGGGAGACTAGAAGAAAGGATTTTGCTGTTATGATGTCTCACCATGTGATTACTATCATCCTCATTGGCTACTCATACCTAACCAGGTGATAAATACTACCTCAGTTAAAATCTATTTGCGTATATGGATAGTTCTCTTAAAGTAGCGCACAATATTGCTTTAGTGAACTGATTTGTTATAAACGAGCTCTCTTTGACAATTGATACTTACTGCCCCCAAATACTTTACTCGAAACTGTTATTCGTGACTGTGACAAGGTTCGACTTTTGACTGGGAGATTAAATGTATTGTGGTTTTATAGAGCAAGCAACCAATAAGCTTTGCTAAAAGGCTTTAGGGAAACTTATTTTTTGTTTCTTCTGCAGTTTTTTCCGAATTGGAGCAATCATCCTAGCCCTTCATGATGCAAGCGACGTGTTTATGGAATCTGCTAAGATTTTCAAGTACTCTGAGAAGGAATTTGGAGCGAGTGTGTGTTTTGCACTTTTTGCCGTCTCTTGGCTATTGCTACGGTTGATATACTTTCCATTTTGGATCATAAGGGCCACAAGGTATCCACACTTTATTCTTACTTATTAATAGATGTAACTTCTTTTTTTATTGTCATTGCTTTATCTGACAGTCGCACCTTTTTTTTGTTAAAAGCATTGAACTCCTGGATTATTTGGACATGACATCAACTGGAGGCACCATCATGTACTATTCTTTCAACACAATGTTACTGATGCTTCTTGTTTTCCACATATACTGGTGGTATCTCATTTGCGCCATGATTGTAAGACTACTTAAAAACAGAGGAAAAGTTGGAGAAGACATAAGATCCGGTAAGCCTTTTTGTATTTACAACAGTTTTATCTATCTTTCATATGAATCTGGGGTCATTTTGCGATCTCGTTATATAGCTGTATAGTAAAGATGACTTCGTCACTTAACTTGCAAGCACTGTTGTATGTAATGTTGCCTGTGTAGTGTAGAGGATCAGTTAAGAGTTGCTGAGCTAGAACTTTTTCTTATTTCGTTTGTTCTTGTCAATGGCAGATTCAGAGGATGATGATTAGGCTTTTTGCAAGCATGACATATACGGAACATGTTTCCACTTCCCCAACCAAAACCATTTAGCTGCTGATGAATTTGTTCTCAGCTTCATTACCTTACTGACTAGAGTTGGAGGTTAAAAAAAAGAAAGGTTATAGTTTTTTTTCCAGTTTGTATTGGTCAAGTCCATTTGGACGATAAAGACCTGCATATTCTCTTTGACAAATATAAGGAAAACAGATCTCAGGTTTTTTGTGTTGTTCTGTGTTTGTATAAAACAATGTGGAAGTTACTTTGTAAATGCAATTTCTCTTGTATGTTTTCTTATACCATAGCTTTGGAGCTCATTCAGAAAGTTTACACAACGATTGACCCATCTCTGTATTAGCAAAACACTGGAAACTTGCCCTTGTAGAAAACTGATGCCATCACAAGATGGGTGACTTGATGTTCTGCATTATACAGCTCTTATATGTGCCTCATGTCCCATTGAGACGCAGCCTATTGTCATATAATCTCCAATATGTAGATTTTGATGGATCTAGCTGCTTCCACCATTCTTGTATCATTTGCTAGGTCTATCATTGTGATTGTAAGCATCAGGCATCATATTTGTCTCATTAAACAAAGCCTTGTGGCTCAAACTCAAAATTCTGACTTAAACTTTGATGATAACACAATGAAGATAGTAGCATGGTCATAGACTCATAGGTGACAGTTTATACCCTAACACTAAACCAAAAAGCATACGTTTTGACGGTATCTTCTTAAAACCTAGCTTTACCTCAAAGAGACTTTGAAACAATAATCAAAACATTATAACAAAGAGGAAGAGAAACAAAAGACATACTCTGACCCAAAAAGAAAAGGGACATACAAAACAAAGAAAAAACATAAAAAAACGTAGTCTTGTCTTAAACATCACATAACCCATCAGATTGTCAACTGCGTACAACCAAGAACCGTTCCACGACACTTAGTCATCGGAGCCACCTTCCTCCACACCGGACGATCACTCCCAACAGACAAAACATCCACATCCGACAACGGCTTAATATCCCAATTATCCCTATCAGGTCCAATCACACCTCCCACAAGCAAAACCTCACCACTCAAACTCGTCATCGCCATTCCAATCCTCGGCTTAAACTCAGACGCCGAAGCAACCATCTTCCACGTGTCATCCTCCTCCTGCTTATACACAACTCCATGACTCATAACATAAGCAACATCCTCAACAACAGTCATCGGACCCTGAGGCCAACCATACTCCTTCACAGTCCATCCCAACTTAACACTCTCAAGAACCTGCACAGACGATAAACCTTTATGCAACACATGAACCTTCCCTCTCACAACTAAACCTGAACACGCCGAGTTATGCGTCCTATGCAGATCAGGAATCGAACTCCACACATCATTTTCAACATCATACATCTCAGCTTTCGATATGGACTTCCGACAAGTGGTGAACCCACCCGCAACAAGAATCATCCCATCAAGAACGCAACAAGCGAACATCGACCGCGCAACGAGCATCGACGCTCTCTGCGTCCAACGCCTCTCCACGAAATCGTAACACCAGACCTCGTCGGTGGCGAACGTGCCGTCGTGGTCCCCGGTCAACGGATCGACGGCGTCGCTGCCTCCGCCTAGGACGAAGAGTTTCCCTGCGGCGGTGACGGCGCCGAAGTGAGCGAGGTGGCGGATAGGGGAAGGGAGGAGAGGGAGGGTGAGCCAGCGGTTGGAGTTTGGGGTGTAGACTTGCCACGTGTTCTCGGGGTCGAAGGAGGAGACGCAGAGGAGGGGCTCTGATGAGTGCTGTTCGTTGCGGACGCGGAAGAGCTCGCGGCTGCGTATGGCGGATCTCCAGGAGCGGGAGACGAGTTCTAGGTTTGGGTGGTGGTGTAAAGGGACGTGTGCGAGGCAGCGGAGTGCGACTGCGTCGGGGATTCCTTCCAGGAGCCCTGACATTTTCGATGATCCTTCTGCGAAAGAACCTAATTGAATTTTTTTTTTTTGAATCTGAATTGGTGAAATTTGAGGAAATTGAGAGAAGAGATTTGACCTGTTGATCGATTTTATGATGGGAAAGTTAACCTAAGGAATCGAATCTCTGGCGAGAAGGTGATTTGTTTCTTTCTTACTGCGATTGCCGTTGATACGGAGGTTTTCTCTGGGAAGATTGATTTTTCCTCTGGGTTTGGTTTGAATGGTTTCTCAGTGAAAGAGGTTTCTTCGGCGGATATTTTGAGTCGTCGACAGACAATGGAATCGGTATCTCGGGTAAGGAATCTCTGGACTGGACCTTAATTAATGGGCCTCTCTATGGGCTAGGTCGTGACTATTTTCTTTACGCTTAAGCCTTCTTTGATTTACTAAATTCAATTCTGTAAAAAGACTTTTGTTGTTTTCTTTAGAGTAATATGGATTTTTTTTTTTTTTTTTTTGCCATCTGAGAGATATTATTGATCACAAGTTACAAATTGTTTTAGGAAATACGGACAAGTATGGAACATACTCCAATCCTGATCTTTTAATATAATTGTTTTAGCTAATGTATCAGCAACTCTGTTTCCTTGTCGTCCCGTATGTTTGAAGATAGTAGATGCAAATTGTTGATGCCATTCTTCTATAGTTGTAAGATAGAATCGTAGTTTCGGAGTACTTGTATGGTTTAATAAATGTTGAATCAGGTTAAGATTATCACCTTCAAATATGACTCGACGATATCCCAGTTACCAAGTACATTGCATTGACCATATCAGAGCTGATGCCTCTGCCTCTTCTACTGTATGTCGTCCTTCAAATTTACCCATTCCACAGTTTAGCACAAGACCTTGAGAGTTCCGTATGACCCATCCCATACCAGATGTTTGATATTGTGTAAGAGAAACGTCGTAGTTACACTTAACCCATCCCACCGGTGGTGCTTTCCATTTTGGAATTTGTCTCAAGGAAGTCCCATTCACTGCATACGATGAATGGTCCAGACTGACTATACTCACCCACTCGGCTATGTCAGCGATGATGAAATCAAAACATTTTTTAATAGAGTAGTCCTTTGCTGAATATAGTAAAGCATTCCTACATTTCCATAACCTCCATAGCGTCCAAATGGGTAGGACTCGCGTTGGTCTTGGAATATTGGTATCCCCCATAATTTCTAATAAATACCGTATTTTGTCTTCAAACGGGATATTAGTTTACTGCAAATATGTGATAGGTATTCCAGTCAGATGCCATATCAGAATAGCAAATGAACAACCAAAAAAGAGGTGGTCTTTTGTTTCTTCCTCCGTGCAACAACGTGAACAATTCGGATCGATGTTAATATTACGAGAGCGTAGGGTTGCCTTGATCCCGAGAGCATTTGACAAGAGCCTCCATAGGAAATGCTTTAATTTTGGGGGTGCATCGATAGTCCATATATTTTTTGCAAGGTCCGGATGATGAGAAAGCGGTGGACGTCTATCAATATCACATAGATTATTTGATGTCATCATGTGATATCATGATTTAACTGTATAGTTACCATCTCGTGTATAACTCCACACAGCATTATCTTGTTGAGGAACAGGTGGTAAATAAATTCTATGAATCAGATGATGATCATTAAGATCAATACAATCCTTTAACTGTTCTTGATCCCATTGATTTGTAACCGGATCAATCAAGCTTGAGACCTCCAATGAAGGGTTCGTATAAGGGAGTAGAGAGGGAGCTCGAGGTGGGATTGTTGGTAACCAATGGTCATTCATTTGTGTAGATTTTCCATCGCCAATTTGCATGTATATACCTCTGTCTAGGAGCTCACGGAGTAATATGGATTATTATGGAGTAAAAATGCTATAATTTCACTTTATTTTTAATTCTATAATGGAGTAAAAGAAAAATAAAAAAAATTGATTACTTTAATTATGGAACTAATTTTATTATAGAGTAAAATATAAAATGGAGTTAGAACATTTTTATTCCATAATTACTTTTACTCCATTTTAAAATAAAAAAGGAAATTGAATTAAAGATGCTATTAGGAGTAGAAAACAAACAAGATTACTAAATTGAGAAATTGGATGCAATAGCTATGAAAAAATCAAAATTTGTAAAGTAACTAAAGTTTTACTCTCTCTCCTCTTTCTTATTTTTATCTCTCTAACTTTTTTCTAAAAAACTAATTTTGATACTTTTCTTGGTTATATAGCAAATAAGCCCTACTAGATTTTGTCAATGAAGAAAACGGGATGGTAGTGTCTGATGAGAAGAGAAGAGAAGAATAGTGTCTGATGAGACTACTCGATTTTCATTTAGGTAGATACCATCCAGAGAGAGAAGAAAATTTTTTAAAATATTTTTCAGCATTATAATAAAACACAAAACATTGATTTATTTACAAGCAAATCGTGCAAACTATTTTTTTAGTCTTTTTTTTTGTTATTCTTATTAAACTGTGATTTTGGTTCAAATTGAATCAATAATGATTTATGAAAATAAACAATATTATGAGAGTTATATGTGTCATTTTATTCTGTAAACTAATCAGATAAAATCATTAGGGCTAATTTGCGAGATAGCTAAGATTGGAAGTATAATTAGGTAACTGACTATGATTTTGACATAATTGAATCAATGACATTTAACACACATATGATCCGGTTCTACCCTCTATTATAACAAGTTGCCGGTGAAATAGAAGAAATAGATTACGTTGAGTGTAATTTATGTGGTCCAAACTAAAAGTGAATTAGTGGTAACTTATGAAAGAGAAGAGAACCACGTCACTTTATTATTTATCGCATACATAATTACTGTGTGGAATAAAAGTGTGACTTAAAATAGAATTCTTTCCAATACATCTTGTATTCCATTTACCAACTTCAGTCATTCTATTATATTTCACCAAAATATATTATGACAACAGTCTCATTCAATCTCCTACTTTTGTATAAACCCCATAAATTGTCATTTAAAAGGGTATGGACGCTAATCACTAAACAAAAATTAAGAAAATATAAACCCTAATACATTGGCGATTAACCCCTAAACAAAAATTAAATTCCATTCCATTCTTTAACTACTGTATTCCATACAAATGAGTATATTATCCAGTATGGTACATGTCTCCTGCTATATCGGTCGATCTATTCCACTGGGTTCAAATCATGTGGCGAACAATCTACTTGGAAGGCCCAAATCGTCCATGTCAGACCTAACATAAAAAAACGAGGGGAAGATAGTTAGTATAAAGTAGATATACAATGATGTAATCAAAGTAAACATGATGGTAAAGTGAAGCAGGCTGGACATATAATATTGAAGAACAGTTCATGTGGAATCGAACAAACGTGAATGGATAATACGAAAGTTCAATACCATCCAGAATGGAACAAACTACAGACGTTCCATTCCATTCAAAATAGTGAACCATCCAAATGGAATGGAATATGTATCCAATCAAACAAACAGTGTATATATAATACATTCGGTGTTCTCTATCACGTATATTAACCAAAATGTCAATTGTATGGAATAATACAACCACTAAATATTAAACCATAATCGCAAATAAGTTAACACTAAACCAAAATATAAACCATCAACCCAAATGTAAACCAAACACCTTAGATAAACGCTACATCAAATGGAATGGCACATAGTCAAATAACATAGTACGCAATGGTATGAAATTATCATAAATTTGTGAGCGTCATTACAATCCATGATAGGGTCACTAAACCCAAACCTCAACCCCCCCTTCCAAATACTAAACCCTAAATCCTAACCACTAAACCCTAAACCCAAATATAGACCTTAAACTCAAATATAGACCATAAACCTAAATAGAACGAAACAAAATAGATAAACAACATCATATGAATATCATTCCATTCAACATCAAATTTTATTCTGTTTCCTTTGATGTCATAATAAATGCTATTCTTTTTACGTCCAATATATTGTTTCTCTTTACAAAATCATATACACACTAATATAAAACACATATATATGTACTGATACAAAACTTATGTCAATAAAACATGAAACAACAAAAACAAGATTGAACCCTCTTCCGGTTCTCTTCCCTCGCGCAAGACCTTAGTCTTTTCATGTCGGTAAAAGTCAACTATTTCACCACAATTGAGTCCATGCAAAACTGAAGAAAAGAGGGAAACATGGTTATAAATATGTCTCAAACAATCTACTTGAGGCCTAATTCTTCTTTGGTAAACTTGAAAAACAAAGTAAAAGGAAAACATGGTTATAACAGAGTAATCCATTGTATTTTATATAGAAACGAACTTTTTATAATTCAAACAATACAGTGATGAAGAACGGTAGTGTATTCAATACATATCATGCAACTTTATCTCAAATAGAATAGTTTATCAATCGATTCTATCTCAAATAGAATAGTCTGAACATATAATATTTTCTATTCTATTTCAAATAAAATATGCATAAAAGATCTCACGCTGACAAGTTGTATTGCATATGCTTCAATACAACAAACGAAATTGACCATAATGCAAGGTTATTCCACACAGTAAATTAAATTAGTATACTGTGTAATTCATATATCGAAGAAAACACAGTTATAATGTACGAAACACAATGAGTAAACCATAAACTATACTATTCAAACGGAAGAGAAAACACAATCAAATGGAAACGCATCTAAGCCAAATAGAATAGAATGTGAATTTGCACAGACAAAGAGACGGTGAAGAGAATCTACGGAGAACAAGGAGAATTTATGGGAGTTTCAGAGACCTAATTCCTATAACAAAGTAGAAATATAATTGACAATAAAACGACATGAAGAGAAGAAACTAGAGAACTTACCATCTGTCAATCGATCGGAGATGATTGGAGTTTCATAAGTTTCCTTGAACACTGGTTGTGAGAAGTGGAATTGAGACGGGTTGTTGATTGGCGCCACTGCGGAGTTACCACCATCGATTGGGAGCCGATTTCATCACCGGAGGAGAGGACGAATTTGATAAGCACGTAGGAGATGTGAAGATTTGAGGTGAAGGAGGCGAGGCAATGGGGATAAGTGAAAAGAAAGATGTGGAAGACAATAATGCACGAAGTGCAACTTTACATCTAATAATAATTGTTTAATTTTTTTTTCTGCAGGTTTCACCGGTTAAAAGAAAGGATAAAACTGTATTAATATAGAAAAGTAACGGTGTGAGTGGATCTGTTAGGGTTTTTGGCTACTTCACCAATTAATCTTTTTTATCTTGCTATATGGCCCAATTTCCCAAATCATTATCACCAAACGTAAATAAAAAAAAAAACAAGAAATTCGTTTAAGATATTTTGTGGTCATTATATTGTTAGAGGGTAACACGACATTTGGCTATAGAAGAACCACGTTTTGTTTCTTGCAAATCAGAACTTCTTTTGTGTCTTAAGATATTTTTTTTCGTTTTTTCCTGGTCGCTACATTTGAAGAAAAATAAAGAATATTAATGTTATAAGAAAAAAAATAGTGTGTTATACAAGAAATGATAACCTTTTTTCCTCGGACAGACGATTAAAAAAAAAAACACAAACTCTTGCCGTTGGGTTTATTAGCATATATCCTGTTTTATTTCCTCTCCGATAGACAGTAGCTGTCTCCGCCGGGAAATATATTTTGCCGGCAGCCATGCTTCGAACTGTCTCTTGCTCCACTTCTCTCACCTCTTCCTCTCCCTTCTTTCCTCGTTCTTACTCGTCCACTGGTGCTCTCCGTGGCCCCGGTCGCAACCTTCGCCGGATTTCCTCTCCTTCTTCCACCGGAAGACGTGGACTAAGGGTTCTCTCCGACGCAGGTCGCAGTCTCAATAGGAAACTCTCTCGCCTCTCTGTTCGCGCCGTCGCCACACAACCCGCACCATCTTATCCTGGTAAAAATTTCTCACTTAGCTCTTTCATTACAGAACATTTTGGAATTGTCTTCTGTGTGTTTGTCCCACTTGTGAATGTGTATGCTTTTAATCTTTTTTGTTTGTTTGTTGGGGATTTAGATGTAGGTAAAGATGAGGCTGAGAAGCTTGGATTTGAGAAAGTGTCTGAAGAGTTTATCTCAGAGTGTAAATCAAAGGCTACTCTTTTCAAACACAAGAAAACTGGTTGCGAGGTTATGTCTGTGTCAAACGAGGATGAGAACAAGGTGTTCGGCATTGTTTTAAGGACTCCTCCGTAAGTAACATAACTAGTACTGCTTCTTCACTCTTGTAATCCAAATGGTTAAGTTGATTACTACTACTCATCAAAGAGTCGTAGTTTTCTGGTTAGTCCTAAACAAGTCCTTAACGCCTTGTAACTAGACGTTTTGAATTTATTTTTTACTTTCAGTTGATATTGGTTCTACAAGGCAGCCTCCTTGTTAATATAGGGATTGCAAAGCCTGTTATGGAAGCGATTGTAGATCATAGTTTCGTTGTTGATGCAGGAAGGATTCCACTGGGATTCCGCACATACTGGAACACAGCGTTCTATGTGGGTCTAGAAAGTACCCACTCAAAGAGCCATTTGTTGAACTACTTAAGGGAAGTTTGCATACTTTTCTAAATGCATTTACATATCCTGATAGAACCTGTTACCCCGTTGCTTCCACAAATACAAAGGTACAATGAGCGAAAGCATAAACTAATTCTTTTGCTGACTTCAAGGAGCTCAGTTTCTTTCTTTCTTTTTTTTTCGTTTATGTCTGATCACCTTTCATCACTGTATTGTAGGATTTTTACAATCTTGTGGATGTATACTTGGATGCTGTCTTCTTCCCCAAGTGTGTGGATGACGTTCACACTTTTCAGCAAGAGGGCTGGCACTATGAGCTTAATGATCCCTCAGAAGACATATCTTACAAAGGTTTTACTTACAACTGATGCCATTTTAAAGTTTTTTTCTCCTCTGCTTTGTCTTAGTATCGGTGTTACCTCTTTGTTTATCTGCTACTTTATATATACACTCATCCTATCTCATCGTTGGTGCTTCATTTCAGGTGTTGTCTTTAATGAGATGAAGGGTGTCTATTCACAGCCTGATAATATCTTAGGGCGAATTGCTCAACAGGCAAGTTGCTCGAGAAACTCTTTTAAGAGCAAACTTTTCCTGTGCAGATGATGTTGAATTAATCTGCGTGTTCTTATTGAATGTTTTCTAATCCACCTGATTAAGTGTGCATGACATACTCATATTTCCATTGTGAATTTGTATTAGATATGAATTTCTAGATATTCCGATGCTAAAGTTCATTCCTATTACCTTAGTGATCAACGAAGTGATGTAGCCATTGTAGATATAAAACTTATCTCTCTTGGAAACTTAGTTTTGAAAACCTTGTTAGATAATCTGAATCTGATGAATAATGTTTTCACTTTGATTAGGCCGTATCTCCAGATAATACATATGGTGTCGACAGTGGAGGTGATCCAAAAGATATCCCTAAGCTGACATTCGAGGAATTCAAGGTTTATTAAAAGTCAAATTATTGTGCTAGTTGTTAGAGTAGCATATGATGATATCTAGAACTTCTGATGCATAGTATATATTTCTTCTTATGGGAAAATTCAGGACTTCCACCGTAAGTATTATCACCCAAGCAATGCCAGAATCTGGTTCTATGGAGATGATGATCCAGTTCAACGCCTTCGTATCTTGAGTGGTAAAAATCGATATCTCCTAGAAGTATACTCTAATGATTTTAGTTTGTCATCTATTTCGATTTTGAAGCACATCTTCTCTGCCTTTCGTATATGTGCAGAATACTTGGACATGTTCGAAGCAAGTCCATCTCGAGATGGTTCAAAGATTGTACCTCAAAAGCTATTCTCTGAGCCTATCAGAATAGTTGAGAAATATCCTGCTGGTCGAGATGGTGACCTTAAAAAGAAGAACATGGTGTACATTAACTGGCTATTATCTGAGAAGCCCTTGGACTTGGAAACTCAGCTCGCACTTGGGTTCTTGGATCATCTTATGCTGGGAACTCCTGCTTCACCACTAAGAAAACTCTTATTGGAAAGCGGTTTAGGAGAAGCTCTTGTCAGCAGTGGGATGTCAGACGAGCTTTTGCAGCCCCAGTTCAGTGTTGGTATGAAAGGTGTGTCTGAGGATAATGTTCAAAAGGTGGAAGAGTTGATCATGAGTACGCTAAAAAAGTTGGCAGAAGAAGGGTTTGACAGTGATGCTGTGGAGGCATCTATGAATACTATTGAATTTTCTCTGAGGGAAAACAATACAGGATCGTTCCCTCGTGGTTTATCACTTATGCTCCAATCTATTGTGAGTTTATATACCTTTTTAAGCTTGTGTCTTTCTCTTTAGGTATCACTTCTTATTTGATTCTTGGCTGCTTAGGCAAAATGGATATACGATATGGATCCTTTTGAGCCGTTGAAGTATACAGAACCATTGAAAGCCCTGAAAGCTAGAATAGCTGAGGAAGGTTCCAAGGCTGTCTTCTCCCCATTGATAGAGCAGTTTATTTTGAACAACTCCCATCGCGTGACCATAGAGATGCAGGTACAAGATTCTCATTTGCTATATAATGTCTCTTTAGTTCTGTGCTGACATGTAGTTCTGTCAGCCTGATCCTGAAAAAGCTTCTCAAGAGGAAGCGGAAGAGAAGAGTATCCTGGAAAAAGTTAAAGCAGGTATGACAGAAGAAGATCTTGCAGAGCTAGCGCGTGCTACAGAGGAGCTGAGATTGAAACAAGAGACTCCTGACCCTCCTGAAGCACTAAGATGTGTCCCAAGTTTGAACTTGAGTGACATCCCAAAAGAACCTACTTATGTTCCCACTGAGGTAATCAGTTTGGATAGCCTTTTGCTTTTGTTGTATTTTCCTTACACTTCCCATTTACTGATGTGAAGTTTTGAATAATAGGTTGGAGATATTAATGGTGTGAAGGTTTTGAAGCATGACCTTTTCACAAATGATATTGTATACGCTGAAGTAGTCTTTGATATGAGTTCGCTCAAACATGAGCTTCTTCCACTAGTACCACTGTTCTGGTATGATTTAAGCTTTCTTGTGATTTTTTTTTGAGTTTATAACCAAGTTTTCCAGAAACGTGCATGGTGAAAATGCTAATGTTTCTGGTGTAAAGCATAAAATATTCTCTTAAGTAGACTTCAGTAGCTGTAATAGTGAATGCCTTGCTTTGTACTACATATTGAGGTTGTGACTCTGATTGAAATTGTCTTTGGACAGTCAATCACTAGTGGAGATGGGCACAAAAGATTTGACGTTTGTACAACTTAATCAGTTGATTGGAAGAAAAACGGGAGGAATATCAGTTTATCCCCTTACCTCATCTGTGAGTGGGAAGGATGAACCGTGCAGCAAAATTATTGTACGTGGAAAATCGATGGCTGGACGTGCTGAAGACCTTTTTAACCTGGTACTTTGTCTTTACAACATCCTTTACTTACACTTTATCCCATTTTCGCTAGATTTCTTGTCTCTTTATTTCCACTTATTTCCAAATTACATAGGCTGCCTCTCTCATCTCGTTGTCCGTGTCTTCTTGAGATGTAACTTAATGTGTTTGTCTTTGTCTTCACTATGAGCAATGAATTATGGTAGACGACTACTCTGACTGGAAAGCTGGTTTTATCTGTTCAGATATCATATAGTGTAACCTTGAAATTGAAACGGGCAATTGCAATAAAGTGGTACTGATAGATGAACTTTGTGAATTTATAAATGCCTTGCATGAATCAGAATTATGGTCCAACTATAGATATTAATCAGCACTCATTTGCAGTGCATGTCCCAAACTCATCTATGTTTCTGCAGAAGATACTGGTTGACACTTAGCTTCATTGCTTTTATTTTTGCTGCAGATGAATTGCTTGTTGCAAGAGGTTCAATTCACAGACCAGCAGCGGTTTAAACAGTTCGTCTCTCAAAGCATAGCAAGAATGGAGGCAAGTAGTAGAATTTTTCTTTCTGCCTTTTGCATGATTAGTGGAACTTGAAAGTAGCAATCGTCATTTCTCATTTCAATGCAGAACCGATTGAGAGGAAGTGGCCATGGAGTTGCTGCGGCGAGGATGGATGCAATGTTGAACGTTGCTGGATGGATGTCTGAACAGATGGGTGGTCTCAGGTTGGAATACCCTCTTCTTCTTCTTTTTTTTATTGTTGATCTTTACTGAGAATGAGCTTTATTATTGAGTTTCTCTCATCTCTCTTTTGTAGCTATCTTGAATTCTTACGCACCCTTGAAAAGAAGGTGAATGAAGACTGGGAAGGGATATCATCTTCACTTGAGGAGATCAGGAGATCTCTCCTTGCCAGGAATGGTTGCATAGTTAACATGACTGCAGATGGGAAGTCTCTCACCAACATCGAAAAATCTGTTGAGAAGTTCCTAAACTTACTCCCTGAAACCCCATCTGGGGGCCTCGTCACTTGGGATGGTCGACTTCCTCTGAGAAACGAAGCCATTGTCATACCAACCCAGGTGCAAAAATGAAGACTGTTTATACAGAAATGTGTTTGGGTTTAAAGTTTTTTAAACTTGCTTTCATACTCTCTTTGCAGGTAAACTATGTTGGAAAAGCTGGAAACATATACAGCACAGGGTATGAGCTTGATGGCAGTGCATATGTTATATCAAAGCATATTAGCACTACATGGTTATGGGATCGTGTTCGTGTAAGTGGTGGTGCGTATGGAGGTTTCTGTGATTTCGATTCGCATTCAGGTAACAACTGCTTTTATTTTGTTCTAACAACATGTTGGATCTTTAAGTCCTAACAACATATTGGATCTCACTTTGTTTCAGGGGTGTTCTCGTTCTTGTCGTACCGTGATCCAAACTTGTTGAAGACACTTGACATATATGATGGAACTGGAGATTTCTTACGTGGACTTGATGTGGATCAAGAAACGCTCACTAAAGCTATCATTGGAACCATTGGTGATGTTGATTCATACCAGTTACCTGATGCCAAAGGTTATAGCAGGTAAGTGAAATGATTTTTCGCAGCTGTTTGAGCAAACATTTAGGATTGTGAACTAAAACATTGTCATATCACTTTGAACCAGTTTGATGAGGCATTTACTTGGGGTAACTGATGAAGAACGACAAAGAAGGCGAGAAGAGATATTAACAACAAGGTTAGTTAAGAGACATTCTCTCAATTATTTCATTTAGCATTTTATATATATATATAGGATTAAGAGTTTTGTTTTGCTTTTACTCATTTTTTTGTTTGTGTTTCACAGTTTGAAGGACTTCAAGGATTTTGCCGAGGCAATAGATGTGGTAAGAGACAAAGGTGTAGCAGTGGCTGTGGCGTCCGCAGAAGACATTGATGTGGCCAACAATGCACGCTCCAACTTTTTCGAGGTTAAGAAAGCTCTTTAAATTGACAACTCTTTACACTTGATACGATTGAGAATCTCATTAGATTTCTCTACTGGAGTAAGTGTAATAGTACATGAATTTCACATTATACGAAGCATTTTTTCGCTTTCAACTTATGAATAATCGCTATATGATAAATCTTATTACAGCATATGAAATCCATGATTGAGTCGTATGAGTGTACAAAATAGAGTGTAGATTTGGTCTAAAGTGATATCTAGTAGATAGAGAATATTCCATTAAGTAGAGTATGAATGTGATTCGATCATATGAGACCTTGACGATGAAGATCAGAGTAAGTTTTGTTGTTCACCCCCTTGCCTCTACTGTGTGTCCTCTTCCACAATTGGCTTCCTCAGTCAATGCAAACACTTCCCGTATTACCTTGAAAGGTTTTAAGTATCATGCAAGTTTAAGTATTGACTCTTGTCAAACTGAAACCAAATAATCTTCTTAACTCTTCGGTGTGTACAAAAAACTAAATCATAATAGTTGGCCTAGCTACTCATTTTCATTTGTTGTACTAATTCATTTTATAGCTTATATAAATTTAAAGTAAATAAAGTAATTTCATATGATTAACAACAAAATCTTAAGTGTGATTATTTTACATTTAACAACAAAATATATGTATCTCTAATCTGACACATAAGTATATGTAATCAATCTTTCTATATACTATTATGGCAACATGGAAAATAAAATGAAAAAAAGATATTAGAAAGAAAGAAATAATCCTTTTTGTAACATTTGGTTTATGGTATATATATATATATATATATATAAAGATTTAAGACAATTGTTTTGGCTACCTATGAATGCGATTATTTTCTCGGGTACAAATCTGTGTAAAACTCTAGATTTCGTCTTTGGAAAAATTAATGCATCACCCGTCAAACGAGATAAAGTCCAGAGATCGAGTAAACGGGCATGGATGGTCCATTAACATAGACGGTCAAGGTATTATACAGTTTTTGCCAAATAAGAAGAGTTCGGGTTTGAACACTAATTTATTTGCTGACCCTAAATCAGTTTTGCTAATATTATTTATAGGCATTGACTGACATAACTGATGATAAAGAATTAGCACTATGCTATATAAGTAGTATAGAGCAGAAATTATGTTTATTTTTAGATTTAAACATAATTTTATGATATTATTAAACAAAAACAGTTTAAATGATATATTTTTTAATTTTATAAATGCAGATGTTCTATTAAAAATTCCATATAGGAACATTAAATAAAAAACATTTAGAAAATATTAGTATCTGATAAATGTTTTTATAAATGTTTTTATAACAAATGTCGATTGAATAATAATGAGTATTATGCTTATGTTAGTGATCGTGCAATCAAGGTTATTGTGTAAATTTTTATTTTATCGGATTTTGAACCAGTTGCACAACATAAACGTATGCTTTTAACTACATTCTAATGTAATAATAAAACTAGGATAAGATCCGCGTCTTGCGCGGGGTGAAGTTATTATTTTTATTATATTTTGGAAAATGAAACAAAAGTTCGGTTTCATCTAGATTAAGAATGTTCAATCTGGATATCGGGTTTCAGTATTTTGGTTATTAAAATATAACTACTATTCTAAATCTATATTTACTTCAGTTTGATGTGGTCTATATATTGGTTTTCAGTTTATTCAATTTTATACCAAAATACATCATTATTTAGTTTGAAATCATATTACATATTATAAAAATAAATAATATAATCATATTTAGAGTCACATTGTCAAAAAGTCATTCACTAAAAAAATATTATATATTTAACTAAAAGAATAAAAACAAAAGAAAAGGTTTCTATGATCTAATAAAATGATCCAATGTAGAATTAATATTAAATCCCTAAATTTTGAAAAATAAAAATAAAAACAAAACAAAAGCATGAAAGAAAATTTTTTATATGCTTCCATATTTAGTGTTCATCAAATTAATATGTCTTCGATTGAACACAACTCTGTTTGTTTAAAGATTAAAAAAAATTCTAAAGAATTTCAACTAATTGTTGTCCATCAAATTTATAATTTTTACTTCAATTTAGTTTTTATTAAAAAAAAAGATTAAAAAAAAAAGACGAAGAAAATAAGAAGCCTCAGTTGCATTAAATTGTTAGTTAATTATATTTCAAGTGATTCAAGTGATTTACAAATCATAATTATAGTTCAACTCATGTAACAAATAGATATACATATTTACATGTTTCAGTTTAATCGATTATAAATCAAACCATATCCAAATCTTAAAGTTTTTATAAAATCACATACATTCGGTTTGTATGGTATATACCAAAAATAACCATATTATCGATTGTTAATATCTGTAAAAAATAGAAAATTAAAAAAAAAGAACTAATATATTTAAATCATTGATAACAAAAATTTTCAATGTGAAAACTTTAATACGTTTATAATTATAAATGTTCTTGAAAATTCATTGAAATTTTTGAAATTAAAATAAGTATGTAATCTTATATGGTATATAGTTTAATCAATATATATATATATATATTATTATTTTTTTTATTGAATGATACTTTTTACTCATATGGTTTTAAAATCATGTGTATCTTTTTATAATAAAAATGTTAAACTATTGATTATTAATTTTTAACATAATAATTTTAATAGTTTTAGTCATTTATTCTTCGTTTTTAATTCAAAACTAGGTGGACGGTCCGCACGTCTGTGCGGACATTAATATAATCTATACATTGCATAAATAAAAAATAATATAATGTATAAATATATTGTAATTTTCTTTCTCTTTTACATAGATACTCTATTTTTTGAATATATTTTTCTATTTTACTCATTTCGTTTCTCCTTTTATTTTTTCACACATTCGTTTTATTTCTTATGTATCTCTCTTTGCATTATTTTTGTATGTCTTTGTACACCTCTCTCGCTCTCTTTTTCTTTCTCTCTCTCTCTTAGTTGATCAAATAATCTCAAAATCTCTTAAACTTACATTCACTCTCTCACAATCACCTATATTCATTCTCTTACTCTCGTCCTTAATATGATCTTCAATATTTCATTTTAAAACTCTTTCTATCTCTTTTTTGTTGCAAAATTTTCACCAAATTTTGTTAAATCTTCTAAACACTGTGACATAGTATTAATAAATGATTTCAGAATCTATCTCACTTATATTCAGTCTCTCACTTATATTCTTTTTCATTTTTATTATGATCATAACCGACTCTCTAATCCTTATCATCACCATATCTCCATCTCTTTCTCCCTTTCTTACATATTTTTTTATTTTGAATTTAATATAAAATCACAATTGACTAACCAAATAAATTCATTATCAAATTCTCTCCAATCTTCACACTATCTTATCAAACATTGATTCCTTTGACAAATATTTTTATTGAAAAAATAAATATTTTATTATTAATTTTTTTTTTAATTACTTCATTACATACATATTTTAAGTAAATCTAAATAATTGTATTTCAAAAAAGCAAATTTGATTAAATAATTATATAACATAAAATATCTTAATTCTCAAATGATCTGATGTCATTATTTTAGACATAGATTAATATAAACATGAGATTCAACAGTTTTAATATATCAATATAACATGTTTCTAGTTGTATAAATTTTGTTATAACTTTGTTATCATATATTTTAAAAGTTTATTACACCGCAAAAAAAATAATTATCATTATTTTAAATTAATTTGCGTTATATTTTGCATCTTCAACATTAACAATTTTATAACTTATCATTTATATTTATCTTCCTTGCTCAAATTTTTCTTATGTTGTATAAACACCTAAAAATAATTAGTTTACAATTATATTAATACGTAAAAGATATTTTGGTATACAAATAAAAAATTATGTATGTACAAATACAAAATAACGAAGAATACAACAAAAGATTTTATCTTTTTTTTTCTTATTAAAAATGAACATGCCAATTTTATTATACTTAAAGCTATATGAATTATATGAATATAATATTAACTCTAACCTTGTATTAATATAATCTTTTGATTTTTTTGTAATTTTATATTATAATAAACTTTTTATTTATTCATATTTTTTTAAAACGACATACCATATAACTTTCTGTTTTAAATATAAAAATACTTAAATAATTTTTGAAAGTGATAACTCAACTATACTATCGACATTTATCTCTGGAAAATGATAGATTTTTTAAAAAAAAAAATACATTTGACTGTTTTGCATTCATAGAACATATTTTAAGAATACATGTATATAATGAGTGAGTATAAAAATAATATTAGTTTTCTGTTATGTATGATTTTTTTATCTACTATTAATAGAAAAAAAATTAAAATCGTTTATATACTTATTTCTATAATATAATATGTATTTATATGTATATTCTAAATTTTTATAATGGAATATGTGATATTTAATTGTTTCTATAAACAAATTCTATTAATCATATGTATTTAAGATGGTTCATTGTTTGTTTGGTAATATATATATTAGATTAGGTAATTGTAGGATTAGTTTCCTTTTAAAAAACTTTAATTAAATAAATAAAAATTCAAATGTCAACAACCAATCAAATTAAGAGAATTAATTCTACATTGCACCTATGAATGACACGTAAGCAAAATTCATTAAAGTGACTTCTCTTTTAATATATAGGGAGATATAGCATATACGAAAAAAATCTAAAGTTTAATTTTATAGCTAATTTGATTGTTTGATTTATTTTAATAATATAAATTTAAAGAAAAATGATGGAGGAGATACAAATTGTTATCAAATATTTATTATTAGAAACATTAATTGTCATATATATATATATATATATATATTTGTCATTTATGGTAATTCCGTAGCTTTTATTTATGGAAAGAAAATAAATAGTAATTATATCTAGCAGGACAATCATAAATGCTTCTATCATAAAATATCATATCATATAGTTTGACCAACAAATATATCTAGCGACATATGAAAATCGAATGTGGACCTACTTATTTTTCAATTTAATGTAATTGACTACCTAATTGAATGACACGTAAGCATGAACTCTTTTTTAACTATTACAAAATTGAGGTTACGATTTTTCAAATGTTTTTCAATTAATATATGGATTTTTAACATAAAAATCCCTCAATTAAGTTTGTTTTGGGTAAAAACCCCTAAACTAAGTATTTAATGAAAAAACCTCCAAACTACATTTATTTAGTGAATTAAACCCTCGTCAGTCATAATTACCAGTGCTACCGGTAAATTTGTAGTTTAGGGGTTTTATCATTAAACATAAAACATAAAAAATAATAAAAAATCAAAATATAATAACATTATCTACAAATTCGTAATTTTAATTTTCAAAACTAGCATTTTAATTTTTTTTTGTAAATATAAGCGTAATTTCTTATCCATGTAAAATGGATTTTTAACTCTAAAATACCTTAACTACGTTTTTTTGGGTAAAACCCCCCAAACTAACAAGTAAACCCCCATATTAAAGATAGTTGAAGGATTTTTATCGTTAAAAATCTTAAAAAAAAATTATAACATTATCTAAAAATTAGTAACTTAAATTTTTATAATTAGAATTTTTCAAACTTTCTGTAAATATATGAGTTTGATTTGTTTTAACATCAACATTATATATATATATATATATATATATATATATATATATATATATATATATATATATATATATATAGAGAGAGAGAGAGATTAAAATTTTAAAACACCAGAATATAATAAAAATCATCTAAAGATTTATTATTACATTTTTTATTAAATATAATATAATTTTTATTCTGTTTTCTTGTTTTTATATTTATAACTTTTGATAATTTTTATTACAGGTAAATCTTTAGATAATTTTTGTTTTATTTTCTTGGTTTTTACATTTTAAATTTATACATATATAATTTTGATTTTAAAAGGATAACAAATCAGACTCATATAGTTACATAATGTTTTTTTTTTAAATGCAAGTTTTGAAAATTAAAATTACGAATTTTTAGATAATGTTATTATATTTGAATTTTATTGATTTTTATGTTTAATGATAAAACCTCTAAACTGAAGATTTACCGGTAGTACAAGTAATTATGACCGGCGAGGGTTTAATTCACTAAATAAAGTTAGTTTGGGGGTTTTTTCATTAAATACTTAGTTTAGGGGTTTTTACCCAAAACAAACTTAGTTGAGGGGTTTTTGTGTTAAAAATCCTTAATATATAGGGGATTCTTACATGCAAAAGTTCATTTAAATGTACTCCAAATCCGACTAATCGCAGTGTGCAAACTCGTTACACATAAACATCATGTGAAACATTCAGACATGATTGTGTTGTTTTACAAATGTACATCATGTCTAAATAGTTTTACAATATGATTCTAATGTTTAACTTCTATATCTTCGTGACAGTAGTGTTTTCTCTACCTATATTCTCTCGTTTATGTTTAATCCTAATAATATTTTCTGTCATCATAAAAATATTAAAAACTAGGTAGAGACTCGTATGTTGCACAGAGTTCAATTGATGTTTTAATTTCTTGAAAACATAAAAATGAAAAAACATTTGCAATCGGTAGATTTTTTGCATATATTGCATGAAACTTATTTTATGAATAAAAATTATTTTTCCACATAAGTTTTGGTTAATATTTTTGTTTCACTAATTTTTTTTTGTCGGTTATGTTTCAGTAATCATAGTGCACAAACAATTATTAGCAATTTTAAATTTAGGGGTATAGAAAAATATTTGCACTATAATTGTTTTAAAAAAAAAAACACATATCATAATCTTAAATATATAATTTTCATGTATCGCAATTATATTAATTAGTAACTTTGAAAACCAAGCTTGTAATTATCTTAAGTCCATGTTTTAAAAATGAAATATTTATATGGAAATATTAAAAAACAGTTTATGTATAAGAATTTTAAAAAAGGAAAGTTAACTTTTTAGATTGTTTTTATATATATTCTTTTGGTTTAAGTTTTTTTTTTATATAAAAAAATATGTTGTTTAACACATGTCATAATCTTAAATATATAATTTCTATGTTTCATAATCATCTTAATTAGTAACTTTAAAAGTGCTATTATTAAATATTATTTATACGGATATATAATTTTTACAGTTTTTGTTTAAGATTGTTTAAAAAAAGGAAACTAACTTTTTTAAAGTTTATGTTTAAAATTTTTAAAAAAAAAGTTAAAACTAACTATTAATTTTTTTGGTTTAAGTTTTTAAAAGATAAATTGTTATTTAACATATATTATAATCTTAAATATATAATCGCTATGTGTCGCGATTATGTTAGTTTAAAAACTAAGCTTTATATCTCTATAATATTATTTGAGAAGTCAGTTTCCTATGTGTCACGCTCACGTTAACTCTCGCGATGGTTGATTACATAGATACCCTTAATGAATTGTTAGATTTTAAGATTATTAATAAATTTGTTTTTTTTATCCTTTTCCAAATAACATATATAATAAAAAGAAAATATTTCTATAATTTTAAAAAAAATTTAAAAACGAAATTATATGTATATAATATGACTTTATTAATAAAGTAAAGTTCACAAAATAGTAATACCCCCATTAATATATACATAATATGACTATATTAAAAAGAAAAGTTCACAAAATAGTAATACCCCATTAATATATATTTTTAAATAACATAAAATAAATTTTCAAAATAATAAAAATATATATGTTCATGAACATCCAAAAATTTATCAGTGACACTTTATTTTCTAATATTTTTTATAAATTGACATATAATTTGATAAATATTATGAAAATACATGTATATTTAAGCGATAAATAAAACTAATTTGATTTGACTTAACTAAAATAAAGAGTAAATAAATATTATGAAAATACATGTATATTTAAGCGATACATAAAACTAATTTGATTTGACTCAACTAAAATAAAAAGTAATTATGCGTCAATTTTAATTTAAAAATATATTTAACTCAATATACTCACAAAATGAATGACGTCTCGACTAATCTAATTTATATCCAAAATTAAACATCCAAATAAAATAAGAAAATATAATTTATTATAATAATAATAATATATTTAGAGGTTGATTCAAAGCATATTAAAAATAAAAAATAAAATATTAACCAATTACAATTGAATTCTTTTGTCAAATTTTTATATATGTTGAGACTTCAAAATATTATTATTATATTCATTTATGTAATTTTGAATCATACACTTTAGCTTATTATATATTTCATTTTAAGCACAATATATATTAAGTTATACATAATTAAACCATAGTATATTTATATATCTAAGAATATATTTACATATCTAAGACAATAACCAACCGAAATGAAAATAAGAAAATTAAACAAAATTTTATTATATTTAGAAAAAAAACATTATAGCTGAACTCGAAAATAGATGTTATCCAATATATCAAATTGATAACCAAACTGACTATTGATACAAAAAATAATTAAATCGACAATAACATATCCAAAGTCATATGTATAATTAAAATAATATAATATTTATTAATATAAATTATACATAGAAATTGATTCAAAAGTAAAAGTAAATATCAATCAATTCTTATAAAATTTTATTTTTATGAATATTCATACCCGTGCATGAGCACGGAAAAATCACCTAGTAATAAGATTTAATACACATACTAAAAACATTAAATTGTACTAAATCTTTGACCTCTTTTGATAAGGTGACGTAGCAGTAATTATTTCCACCTCACTAGTTCGGTTTAGGAAAAGGATAACAAAAAAATAGGAAGTAAAATCAATGTTAATTCACAGTCATCTTAAGATGTTAACACGTGTTTTGGTAACACGTGTTCGTTTAACCTCTTTTCATAAGATGCATTAAGGGTAACAAAATCAATACTAATGCATGAATGTATGATTACAAACTCAATGTTAATCCAAAGTCACTTACACAAGTTCAAAGCACACAAATCTACCGTATTATATCTAACCATAAACGTACAACTCTAAATTATCTATTTGTTTTGTTCAGTTTATAAAAGCCTTCCACAACTATTGGAGTCATAAGCTGATATAGATAGAGATTACAGAAGAAAACAGAAACAAATTTTGTCTTTCGTTTGGTAAACATGCAAGAACTTACTTCTACGTTCTTCTCTCGTTCCCTCGTCCCGACCACTTGCACGCGACCTCGACCACGACCAACGTCAGTAGTTCCCATGACCATTTGCATGGACCAATCACGCAAAGAGAAAGTGGTTGTCATAATGGGAGCCACGGGGGCAGGCAAGTCACGTCTCTCAGTCGACCTAGCAACTCGTTTCTCCGGCGAGATCATCAACTCTGACAAAATGCAATTCTACAACGGACTTGAGATCGCCACTAATCAAATCACTATCCCTGAGCGATGTGGAGTCCCTCACCATCTACTCGGTGAGCTTCCTGTGAATGACAATGAACTAACTGCCTCCGAGTTCCGGTCTTTGGCGTCAGAGTCGATCTCTGAGATAGCCTCTCGCGGTAAGCTCCCGATAATAGCTGGAGGATCTAACTCCTTCGTACATGCCCTCCTTGTAGAACGTTTTGACCCCGGAACCAATCCATTCTCTTCCAAGCCGTCCATTTCTTCTGAGCTGAGGTATGATATACAGAATTATTGTTTTTTTTTTGCCAACAATAACTATACTATTTCAAAATAGACACCAATTTAAAGAAGCTAAATCGGTGAAACAGAATAGGCATAAAATATAGCAAAAACAAAAGTATCGCCTTATAACTTATTAATCCTTTGTGTATATATTAACATGAAATATCAAACGTAAATGGAAGGAAAACTTCTGTTTAAATGTAAATTTACGTTAGCATTTAACAAATATATTTTATGAAAACATGCAAAATGATTTTTTTTTGGGTCAAAACATACAAAATGTTTAATCTATTCAAATGGTGATTAATTTACAAGTATGTTACTACTGATCTTATGTAAAACTTTGCCCAAATCTTGCTTTGATCAATAGGTACGACTGTTGCTTCCTCTGGGTGGATGTCTCGGTCTCAGTTTTGCACCACCACCTCTCAAAACGTGTCGACCAAATGATGGACTCGGGAATGTTCGAGGAGCTCGCAAGTTTCTACGACCCTAGAAACTCCCGGTCGACCGTCCGAACCGGGATTCACAAGGCTATAGGAGTACCGGAGTTTGACCGGTACTTCGGAGTCTACCCGCCGGAGAAAAGCCACAATGTGTGCGAGTGGGACCAAGCGAGAAAGGCGGCATACGAGGAAGCAGTGCATGAGATCAAGGACAACACGTGGCAGCTTGCGAAGAAGCAGATAGAGAGGATCATGATGCTGAGAAGCAGCGGTTGGGAGATTCACAGGTTGGATGCTACTGCGTCGCTAAGGGCATCATCAAGAGAGGTTTGGGAGAAGAACATTTTGAAGGAAAGCGTCAAGATTGTGAAACGGTTTTTGCTTAAAGACTAGGGGTTTTTTTTTTCAATTTGCCCGCCATGTTCTATATTAAGATCCAAGACGATAGAGGATTTATGCACACATATTAACACACATCTATATCTTATTATATAAAATTTGGTTTTTCAAAATTGCTAACTAACATGATCGTTACACATGCCAATAAATATTTTTTAGATAAAAACATGTGTTAAAAATTTATCATAAATATAAATTTAATCAATATAAACTTATTTTATAGCAATTTTCCTTCTTTCTTGTTTAAATTTATCAATAGTAAAATATTTATCATAAATATAAATTAATAAATAGAAATTTATTTATAGTATCATTTATATATTATTTGCGAAGTGATTTTGACAAATGTCATTACCACAATCACTTTCACCAAAAAATGATGACATGTCTACTAATAATGTTGACATGATTTCGAGTTAGTTGTAACATGTATATTTACATTTACATTTAATGTTAATATATATTTTTGGTAATTTTCTAGAATATGGTAATAACTCATAAACTATCATCAACATAACAACAAATAAATAGTAGAAATAGAAATATAACAATATTTTAAAATTTTTAAATATTTTTCTAGTCTATTTTTATAATTATTTAATTTTTATTAATAATTATTTTCAAAATTTTATGTGAGTTTTGTTTTAAATTATAATTTTATAATCACAATACCGTTAGTTTTATATATAACATCTATAAATTTTAGAAATACTATTTAATTTTATATTTTGATAATTATATATGTAACAAAAAAAATTCTTAATTTTATAGAAACTGATTTAACATATTTTGACCAAATAAAAAAAAAGAGGAAATTTTTTTTCCAAGATTTTAATTTTAAATATATACATATATATTAATAAATAAAAATTTAAATAAAATTTGTTTATTTTCTCTTAATTTTTACATATAAATAAAGTCAAATTAATAATTTAAAAATGATAAATTTTAAAAATAAGTAAATTTTATTTTTAAATATAATTTTATTTTTAAAACTTTTATTTTTGCACATGGTGCAGGAAAACACCTAGTAAGATATTTAACAACGTTGTAAAGATTCCAATTTTAAAAATTATTTAATATTTACTGAAATAATAATTTGCTTATAATTTCTTTTACATACTACAAAATATTTAGGATAAATATTTTATAGTAATTTTCCTTCTTTCTTTTTTAAATTTATCATAAATTTACTATTTTCCTTCTTTCTTGTAATTTTATAATAAGATAGTAATTTTCACAAAAATTTCATATCCAAAAATGATTCATGTATAGTAACCCTACAAATAGAAAAAAAATATTTGATAAAAATATAAAACAAAAAATATTTATATTCTTACAAATACTAACACGAAAAAATATTTAATAAGTAGTAATTTTCCTTTTTGTGAAAATCCTAAACAAAAGAAAATTTTAAAAAATATTTTTTTTATAAATAACTAACTTTCCTGTTTAATAGAAAATTTCCTATTTTAAAATTCATAAACCAGAAAGAACTATAAATATACACATCTATATATGAATAAAATTTATCATATTATTTTCAAAAACACAATAGTATTACAACAAAGAAACACAATAGTATGATGATGTTGTAATTATTTTAAAATTATATATGATGATTTCTTTGTATATATGAATATTATGAAATATGTTTGTACGAGTAAAAAAATATAGTTAGTCATAATGTCACTTTATTACGATATTATAGATCATAAGAACTTTATTACATTTTTTTATTCTTTTCCATTTGGTGTTTTTTTTTGTTTTAAAATTTTATTTCTATGTTATTGAGAATCATCAAGTAAATAATGAATTCTTATAGTTATTTACCACAAGATCAGTTAAATAAAAATATTTTTATTATCGTAGTGCCTTTTACTAAAAAGTGAAAAATAATGACGAACGTATAGAAACGAATTCATTATTACATAATGAGAAGGTAAATATATTAGTTTTAAAAAGTTACATATTTTTATTTCTAAAGTTAATTTTTTATTGATATAAGAAACATAATTCAAGGGTGTGTATGTTAGTGTCTTCTAGAAAAGATCGAAAATGAGTTACATGAAATTTTTCTTATTGAAATATGCAATTTTAATATGCAAGTTGTCATTAGAAGCTAAACTCCTTGATCCTAAATTTCAGATATAACTTATTAACAAAATAACATATGCATGTCTAAGACAACAATTTAATATTATTATTGAAAGATAAGTCTAACATCAACATAGAAAGAAGAAAAAACTTAAAGCTAATGTTAATGATTTTTTTAATCTTTTTTATTTTTTCATAAAACATCAAATAAACTTGTTTTTCGCACGGATCCATATCTAATATAATTAAAAAGTTAAGTTTTTTTTCTTTTCTTGGGGCATTTCATGCCACATCTCCTTCTCTTATTGTTTTTCATTCGCTGCATTTTGTTTACTGGCAATATTATGTTTTCACAAAAGTCCAGTAGTATGTAGGTTTAGATAATTCATTTAATAAAAAGTATAATATATATATTCATATAGTCCAATTTATTTTTTCTAAAGATTCTAAAAATTATCCTAATGATAGCACGTGACTATATTCAAAGGCTGTAATGTTTCTCAATTAATATATAAATGAGATTATTTATTGTCATAAAATTTAATATAACTAATGCATGTCATAAATTCAATATATAAGAAATTCTATCTTAAGTCCATAATGTAAAATAATAATAACATAATATATTTGAAATTATTTTCAAATCAAAATAATCGCCACCTTTGAAGTTCTTCATGAGTTTTAGATTAAGATCGATAAAACAAGCACCACTGAAAGTGTTGAACTCAGTAAATAAAAGTTGAGACGAGAAGTTGGCAAAAAAAAAGAGATAAGCAATGATGAGATTTCTTTTTCGTAAAAACAAACAATATTAAGTTACTTTTTTACTTTATTGACCTAGTTATAACTTATAAGTTTATCTAGTTATCAATTTATGGTAATATTTATTTACATGATATTTTATATTTAAATTAATGAATTTTTTTAATAGATGTATTAATTTAAACTCCATTGTATTTGGTATTAATTTGTACAAAAAAGTAGGGGTGTTTAATCTGAATGCGGTTCGGTTTCAGTTTGTTTTTTTTTTGTTTTTTGGTATTCCGGTTTATAAAAATTAGTTACCATATTAATATCATTTCTATTTTGGTTTGGTTCGGTTTATATACTAGGGGTTTTCAGTTTTCTTGTTTTATACCAAAATCAATAACTACACTTACCTATGATAAATTTAAGATTATATGATTTGAAATCAGATTTAGTAAAACATAATATATATATATATATATATATATATATATATATATTTCATACTGTAATTTTATAATAGGATATCTTATTTTTAATTTTATTATTAAATAACTCTCTTTTAGCACAAATATTTATCAATAAATATATGTTTTATTTACTTTGATAAAATATGAGATTTTTTGAACATATGAAAATAAAGAAATTAATAAAATCCGTGCTATAAATATGAATATTATATTAAACATAATCATGTATATATTACTATTTTGATTATAAAATTTACATATAAGTATACTAACATATTTTAATTAATTGAGTTTTTTGTATATATGATTTGATCGGTTTATATACGAACCATATCCATATACCATGATTTTTTTAAATTATTCTACATTCAGTTATTCGGTATTACCAAATTCAAACTACTTTTTCTATTTCAGTTCGATTCGATTTTAATTAGTTCCACTTTCTCTATTTCAATACAATTTGGTTTTAATTAGTTCGGTTTTACTGGATCGAACACCCCTAAAAAGTATTTATTTGTACAAGTTGAACTTTATTTATTTGACACAACGCTTGGACCTGGTCCATGGTTTAACCTTGTTGGTTTTGCATTCTACAGTCAATTAATACATCACTTAATTTCGTTGATACTTACCGAAGTAATCCAGCTATAGGCCCATTAACCTGTAAACTTGACCCACCTTTGATCTTCACCAATGTCAGTTTTCGTTTTGATCAATCTGAATCGGGGTGACATCAATTAACCTATGGGTTGTGTTGTTTTGAAGAGAAAGAAAGGAAAGAAACGTCCACTTTAGTTACTTGCACACATTCTTCGGCTATGATTATTGATGGATACTTGAGTCATATCTTCAAAAACTCCAAACTATCCATAACACAGTACCCCCACATTACTAACAGGCTTTTGGTGGAAGAAAACATATCGTCCCCTCACCGAGAACCTAATTGTTAAAACTTGGCATCATGTAGTTTCCTCTCAACTATCCCATGTAGTTCACATGTTTTTGCAACGACGAGTATTTTAAATCTTAACCTTCTAAGCCCATCAATGTATACAAAATGTAAAAGAAACCTCACCTATCTAAGCTTTATCATAAACCACTTAACTGGAGCTTCTCACCTAAGTAGAAAATGTAATAGAAATTCTCACCTATCTCCGAGCTCAAAAGTAAGAAGCTACACAACCCAGTGGGTATGCTTCACCACATCTTCCCCTTGACCACAAGATACGACTATTGTGTTACTTGTAAGCATATCACTTTAACCAACAGAGCACTCATAATATAAATGCAGATGCAGACGAAAGCAACGAGGATATATGAGAAATAAGTCTTATAACGACAAGAGAAGATCCAAACCAGAGTTCACAGATTATTTATAAGGCACTTCAAGGCCTTAGACACGCACAAACCATAAGAAGTTTTAAAAGAAAAAGACTAGCGAACACAGACATGGATGATTTTTGATCCAACACAAGACAGAGTGTCTTAAAAACCACCACGGAGACGCAACACCAAGTGAAGGGTTGACTCCTTCTGAATGTTGTAGTCGGCAAGGGTGCGACCATCCTCAAGCTGCTTTCCAGCGAAGATGAGACGCTGCTGGTCCGGAGGGATCCCTTCCTTGTCTTGGATCTTGGCCTTGACGTTATCAATGGTGTCAGAGCTCTCCACCTCCAGTGT